TTGCTCCAACACTCGGCTTTCATAGCCACCCATGCGACTCGCAGACCCCTGCAATCAGGCCAACCCACTGCACAAGCACATGGGTCGGGGATCCAAACTCTACATTTGGCTTGGGCTCCACCCCAAGCCACGTTCCCCACCCGTCCCCCAAGGAAGGGTTCCTCAGCTCCTCACCCTCACTCAAGAATGAGCAGGGCATCACCCACAGGTGATTTTACCAGACTCACAGGTCTTCAGCATACTCAGGCTGCTTAACAGCTGCTCAGGGCTTCACAACTTAGCATCAGCACCAGCTTTTGCCTTTTCAGTCAGCTTTTCTCCTCTGCCTGGCTGCTGGGCATACACAGGCTGCTTTTGGCCATCAAGGCCCACTGGCCACCCCCAGATTCCCATATCCTGGGGTTTACAAATGAAATTGTTCCACCCCCAGGGTCCCAAAACATAACAACCTGCAAGGTCCTCCGCCTTCTGGCGGGATTGTCAGTCCAACTCCATTAGTCCGAGTCCATTAGGCCTCTCCCTGCTATCAGCACTGGTGCGCTCCGAATCGTGGCCCTGTCTTCCCAATGATTCTTGCTGCCTCGGGGGTCGTTGGCTGGTCCTTTCGGGTGTCATTGGCTGGTCCTCTCGGGCGTCTCCTCCTCCAGGTGTGATCTTGTCCTGTAGATCCTGGACCTTGTCCATCTCCTGGGTCGCCATGACGCCTCCAGTGTCATCACAGGCAGTCTTTTACTCCTTAGTCCCTCCAGGTCTTCAGAGGGCTCCATACCCATCTGCATGGATCATCCTGCCAACTACGCCAATTGTAAAGGCAGGAAGGGACACAGTGCAGGTTTTCTGATCCCATGCAGACCGGGTAAATGAGGAGTCAGAGTCCTCAGTGGTTTTTTGCAGGTCTTTTATTGGGATTACCAGGTACACGGCAGGCAGGGGTGTGGAGGGTGGGAGGCTGGCAGGCCTTCCAGCCCCCAGCAAGTCTTTGCTCTATCTGGGCTCTCCGGCATTCTCTGCTTCTCTCTTGGCTTCTGCTCATTCTTGGTTTCTCTTTCGGCTTCTCTTTCAGCTTCTCCTTGGCTTCTATTGGCATCCCCGTGATGCCGCCCTTAAAAGCACAGTCTTAGCGCAGGTGTACCCACTTCAGATGACCGCCATCAGGCATGCATTCAGGATCAAAGGGTTCCCTCATCTGTCCTGATGGCAGGAGGGCAGAAAAGCCTGATATTTTTTCCTTACCCTACACTCACAATTCCCTATCATGAACACCTCATATTAATGAGGTATAATTGCTGCAGTTGATAAGCTGATACAGCTACAGCATTATTAACTAAAGCCCATAGTTTGCAGGAGGCTCACGTTGGATGGGGTTCGGATGTGGAGTGGCATCAGAGTCTCCCAGGACAGTTCTGCTGCCCAGAAGCCCTCTGTGCTCCACCTGCTCATCCCCCTCCCCTCACCTGCAGCCACTAACCCCTGAGTGTCTCCTCACCCTGACTTTTCCAGAGTGCCCACAGTTGGTTTGTTGTAGGGGCAGGAGGGGACAGCACAGGTTTTCTATGATTCCATGCAGACGGGGTAAAGGATAGTCCTGGAGCCCTCGGTGGCTTTTGCAGGCTTTTACTGGGATTTAACCAGGTACATGGCAGGTAGGGGTGCGGGGTGGGGGTACTTGGGAGGCAGGCAGGCCTCCCAGCCCCTAGCAAGTCTTCACTCTCTCTGGGCTCCCCAGCATTCTCTCGTGGCCTTACTTCTCTCTCTTCTGCTTCTGCTGTCTCCTGCTGGCATCCCCGTGACACCACCCTTATAAGCCCAGGTGTGCCCACCTACGCACGCCCACACCCCACTCCAGGTGCCACCATCAGGCAGGCATTCAGGATCGAAGGGATCCATCATCCATCCTGATGGCGGGAGGGCAGGAAAGCCTGACACTCATTTACCCTGCCCTTATGCAGGAGGCAGGATTTCCAGGCCAGTATCTTTCACTTCGTCATGGACATTTACCATTTCCCCACCTTTCCGAGGCACAGCAGCTTGTTTCTTCTTGGGGCTGCACAACACCCACCACCCAGGTACCACCACTCACTTCTCCACTACCTCCCAGTTTGGGGATGAACAAAGCTGCTGTGAAGCATCGCGAGCAGCCTGGTACTGCTGTGTGGGCACGAGTAACCCATATTTAGGTAACGGGACAGGAAGGAGCTGTCTAAGGCCGGGCACCTTAAAGGAGACATTTGGCAACATTCACGACCACCTGACGACAGACAGCAGGGGGCGCCGCTCGCCGGCTCATGGCACAGCTGCGGGGATGTCACATGGGCTTCTTCCAGGGTATTTGCTGTTTTCCCTGTAGTGACAGGGCAGAGAACAGCACCCCTTCCCCCCCTCCCCTTACAGCTGATGCTTCTTTTAGCCAGCACTGAGGAGCATCTGGGAGGTCACCAGGGGGAGGCATCTTGAGGGTGGTGGAGGTGACCACAGAGGGCAGGGCAGGTGTGGGCCGAGGAGCTCAGGTTTCCTTTCTTTCCTTCAAAGGCCTTTCTTGAATCTGCAACAAAATTACCTAGGATTTACAGAAAAAGCCACCAAGTGAAACAACTGGCGGCTTGAAGGGAAGGCCTGGGGCGTCCCAAGGAGAGACACCCCAACTCAGGCTCGGCCCGTCAGGAAGTCCTGGAGACAGAACCAAGGTTCTTATGGCAGTGATCAGCTTCTCTGGCCGGCAGACAGCAGCTGGTCAGGAGCTGGGCCTGGTCCCCATGGTGACGCGTGGCCGGGGCAGGCCCACGGGTGGGACGCTGGCCGCTGGCGCAGGCAGGTGGCTGCAGGCGCCTCTGAACGTCGTGCCCTTCCCCGAGTGGGTGCAAGACGTGAGCCGCGCCTGGGTGGGGCGACTTCAGGCGTAGACATAGTCACGGCAAACCAGCTTGGAGCTGACGCGTGTCCCCAACACAGTCATTGAGATTTGGAGCCGTTGCTCTTTAGATCTCTTTTTCCTGGCAAAAAGGAGACGCCGGAGGAATTTTAGAGGGTGAAGAAGAATAACATGTTGCACATGCCAAAGCACGCCCTCTGCCCCTAGCCCCTCATGTTCGGGATGATGGCAGGTGTTACCTGAAAAGCTGAAGCTCCGGTGCTGGCTGGGAGGGTGTCTTATGAGCCTGGCCTCTCCAAGGCAGGAGGCCTGTGTGGTTCCTGTGGGGAGCTGGTGTCACTCCACACCCAGCAGAGGACCGAGGGCTACCTGGTCTCACTTCCCGCTTAGATTTGGTTTCCAGCTCACACGTGAGAGGCATGAGCAGACTTACCGCTCATCTGGGGACTGTGTTCAGAGAGGGGCTTCATCCTCCCCCATCAGGGCCTCCTACCCGCAAGGCAAAGAGGCTGCGGGGGAGCACAGCCAAGCAAGGTGAGGCCCTGGCCCCCCCATAAAGGCTCCAATCTGGTCAAGTCACACCGTGGTGGGCTGTGGTGTCTCCTGGGAAGTGTGGTTCACCTCCATGCGGGGAAGTCCTGCCCCTTGGCCCCCCTCAGTGGGGGTGTGGGAGACCCGAGGGCATGGATGAGAAATAGGAGGGAGGCTGGAGCCCTGAGCTCAGCCCTCAGAGCAGCCAGGAGAAGTGGGAAGGAGAAGGACACCCCGGGTTATTTTATATGTGGAATATAAAGAACAAAACAACAGAGAGAACAAAACCCAAAAAATCCTAGAAATCTGACCGTAGAATTGAGGCTGGGGCAGAGGGCAGTGGACCCAGTGGAGTCTGTGGGGGCTTTGGGGTGGGTGGGTGGGGTGACAGGCACCTGCAGAGGTGCAAACCTGCCCCTAAATCATTCTCAGAGTTACCAACCAGCAGTATCTTAGTAAAAATAACAACAAATGAAAGACCCCGTCTCGGGGAGAGGGAGCCATGTGGGGCACGCTGGTCCCCAGGGTGGCAGCAGGGGCTGAGGGCGTGGCTGGGGGGCGTAGCCAGCCCCAGGTTTCCTGGGTGTCTCTGGGCTGATTCTGCTGGGAATCTGGTTTGCACAAAAGCACTGCAGACGTGGCGGGTGGGGGGAAGGAACCCGAGCTGTTATTAAAAACAAAACAAACTCAAAACATCCTTCTTCCTCACAGGTCCCCGGACCCCCCTGAAGCTGCTGGGGAGGAAGCACGCCCACGGCTCTGTTCCTGACCCCGGCACGTCCTCCCTGGCAGCTCGGCCTGGGCCGTGTGTCCATCTGTCACTGCCCTGGTGTTCTCTGGGGAGACCGGCAGCCAGGGAGGGAAGCGGCCTGGGAGAGGAGGGAGGGTCGCCCCAAGAGAGTCGAGGCCCTGCCAGGTAAAGGCTCATTGCACCCTCTGTTCTCTGTGTCTGTCTCTCCCTCCGGGCCTGCCAGTGACACTCTCTCTCAGTGCGGACACTTGGGCTTTCCAAGCCCATTTATTCCTAAGTAACTATGGTCCAGAATTATAGACTTTGGGCCTCCCTGGTGGTACAAGGGGTTAAGCACCGCACTATGAAGCAATCTGCGGCCTCTGCAGCATGAGTTCAATCCCCAGCAGGCCAGAGAAATCCACATGGTGCAGCAGACCTCTCCTGTCTCTCCTGCTGCTCCCCTCAGCAGTGTCTTCGGTCCATCTGCCTGTTCTGCTCCCCACTCTGTCTCTGGCGAATCCTCTCACCCTCAACATCTCTGGCCTGTACCCCAGCTCTTGTGTGCATAAATAAATAAATCTTAAAAAAAAAAAAAGAATTATAGACTTTAAAGGCCTAAATAACTGCCAATTGAAAGATGACTGATAGAACATCATCCAGAGGTGAATTTTTGAGCAAAACGAGCCGAGGTGGCGCCCTCTGGTGATGGTGATGAGCCTCTTTCTCGTGCTGGTGCAAAAGTGCTCTCATGTGTGCCCAGTGGCGCTGACAGGGCCTGGGCGCCCTGAGGCTCCTGGGAAGGGGCGGGTGGCAACTCCTCCCTCCCGTCCTTCCTCCCTCCCTCCCCCGCCCCCAGAGTCACTGGTGGCCTGGCCCAGCAGGCTGGGAACTTTCCATCGGACTTCTCCTCCAGGCCTGCTCCTCCCATCTCATAGCCTCCTCTCAGCGCTGCACAGACCTTCCCATTTCAGAGAGACGAGAGAGACTCAGGAGCGGGAGTCAAGGTGACCTGCTCAGGTAAAGTGTTTATTTTACTCTGATGGAGAAACACAACTTATTGTTTAAAGAATGGTTTAACCCTCCTGAGAGGGTTGGATGGAGCCACAGCAGAACAAAGCAAGTTTCTCGCCTGCCCGCACCCTCCTGGGCACCGCTGGGCTGGCTGCCCTCATTACTTTGGTCCATGCCAGCGAGGTGGTCCCATCACCCAGCAGGGTCCCTGCCTGGGTGCCCGGTCATGTCAGGGCAGCAGGTCCCGGCAGACATTAGCTTGCTGTGGACAGACTGGCAAGGAGGGGGGCGATGCCTTCAAGTCGGCCTCCCTGATGAATAAAGGAAACGAGGTTATGTGGGTTTTGGGGACCAGAAGTGAAAACAAAGGAGCTAAATGTTCTTGTCTGAAGAGTGGGCGAGGGGCGCTTGGAGGTGGGCGTGGCTGAAGGTCTTCCACCGGCCTGGGCGCCTCACCCGTGGGGACATAGGAGGAGGCTTTTCTTCAGACCCTGGTGTGGGGGCTCGCACCCCCCCTCCCCGCCCGCACTGCCCCCACCCCCAGCCTTTCTTCTGCCTTCGCCACTGGCTCCAGCCAGGCTTGGAGCTCAGCTCAGGATCCGTTACTCTCCGCGCTCAGGCGGGTCGCCTGCTCGTCCGGCCCAGGCGCTGCCGTGTCTGCCAAAGCAGCCGTCAAGAGAAAGTTAGTTTTTCTCTCTGGAGCTTTAGGCTCTGAAGCCAGTTTCCCAGGTGAGCCGGGCTCAGTCTCCGAGTTTCAGGTCAGCTCGTGCTGCTTTGGATTGTGGTTCCCCGCACGCGCCCATCTCAGTGCTGCAGGAGGAGACGCCCCAGTCCAGGGGCAGGGAGGGGGCGAGGTGGGGCTTCCCCTCCGCTCCCTGGTAGAGATGTGCAGGAATCAGGCTCGCGGGTGAGGCAAGGGGCTCGCCCTGCACCCTGAGCTGATGTTTCCTGGTGGGGGAGCTGTCCCGAAGGCTGGTCCTGTGCCCCCAAGGGCAGGGCGGTTGGTGTCTGGCAGCAGAGGACGTGGTTTCATTGAGCAGTGAGTGGGAGAAGGACTGGCAGAGGCCAGGTGGGCAGGGACCCCAGGGCAGCGTGTGGCCCGAGCTGTGGCAGCTTGGGCAGAGAAGGGCACTGCGACCGCGAGGGAAAACATCCTCACAAAGCACTTGCGAGGACGGAGCCCGGCAGCTGGACCAGCAGGAGCTCGCACGTCTCCTGCCCAGGCTGGACTCTGAGAGCAGCGGTTTAAGCGTCACCTCCTTGGAAGGAACAGCCCAAAGCCCTTGGCGTGACCCGACACCTCCCGTGAGCAGCTGAGGTCGCTCCTGAGCAGCCCAGGGAGGAGCTTAGACCCCGCGGGCTCCCCCAGCAAGGCTCTGGGGCTGCGCAGCTGAGCGCAGGGAGCCCCTCCTGGCCCCATGATTACCCTCTGGCCCTGAGTGACTCCTGCGCTTCCCTGCAGGGACTAAAGCCAAACCCGCGTCCTGAGCAGTTCCCCAACAGCACAACTCCGGGCGCCCGTCCTCATGACCGTCCAACAAGCGCTTCGTCTCTCTTGGAGACCCGATGCCCAGCGACCCTCATATCTTGGGGGGACGGTCAGCCGGTTTCCAGGGTCCCTTCTCCCCGGGGCGTGCAGGGCCAGCCCCTCAGCCCTCTCCCCACCCCCTTCACCTCTGCCCCCAGCACCCCCCCCCCGCCCCGTCCGTGACCCAGGAGTCCCCCGACGCCCGGGGCCCTTCTTGCTGGCTCTCCGGGCACCATATTGGGGCGGTCACAGGCAGAACGTGGGAAAACAAAGTCTGGTTTCAGGATGGCGCGTCTTCAGCAGCAGGCCGGTGTCTAGCAAGCTCGCGCTCCATGGACTGCCCTCCCCGCGAGCTCACCTCAACCTCCCACACCCAACCTCCCTGCACGCACCAGCCCAGGCGAGGCCCGCATGGGGGCGCCTTCTCCGGGCACCCCAGGTCACCCCAGAGAGGACGCGCTGGCCGGGGTGCCAGGACCCTCCGGGAAGCAGGACCCGCAGGCGCGCGAAGTTTCCTCTAAGGCGCCGACCCCGGGCGTTGGGGCTGGCGTGTGTGCACCGGGGCAGGCGCCGGCCGGGACTCAGGAGTTGGTGTGAGGCCTGTTTCCCTCAATTCTTACTCATTTGTCAGACATTCCTGTCACCATGTCCTCTGGGGGCGCATCCACACCGCAGGTGCACGGCCCCTCTCCCCGCCTTCCCATTTGGAAACCAGAATGTTTTCCTGAGCACGAGGGCTGCTTCGCTGTGCTTTGCTCCTTTGCTTTCTTTAATCATTTATATTCTACAAACAAGCGAAGCCACCGGGCGTCCAGCCTTCACTTTCTGACTTACTCCACTGAGGATAGTCACCTCAGAACCCACCCGTGTTGCTCCAAAGGCGCCTGACCTCGGCGTCTCCAGCAGACTCTTCTCTGGGAACTGCAGGTCTTACTCTTGCGGCCTTCACCTGATCGGTCAGGCCCACCCACGCCGCGAGGCCAGTCTCGCCCACCCTCAGCTGGCAAAGCCCCCTAGCGGCCGCCGGAGAGTGCCCGACTAGGTCCCTGGGCGCCGTGGCTGAGCGAGGCTGGCACCTGAGACCCGCCTTGACTCTGGACTCGTGGCGTTGCCCGTGGGCACCGGGCTGACATGGGCTCAGCCGCTGGCCGCTGCTCACCAGGGTGTGCAGGCCCCGGGGGACACCTGCCCTGGGCGTCCTCGGCGGGCGATTCTCACCCGGGAGCGCAGCTGCCGGGACAGACGCTGCAGATGCCAGCGCGTAGGTGGGCTGCTGTGGGGCTTGCCCACACCAGAGCGAGTCCAGGGCGGCCGCTCTGACTGCTGCGCTCCCGGCTCCTGAGCGGCGCTGGCACGGGTGACGGAGACCCTGCTGGGGGCTGGCAGAGTTGGGTTTTGATACTGAATATTTAAATTAAAGTTGTTGACATTTATTAAATTGTTGCTCCTGCTAAGGTAACGCTGGCATTTTGACAGGTGGGGCCCGGGCACAGCCAGTAGATGTGATCCCAAGGAGAGCCTGGAGAATCCACTTATTACAGAAAGTGATTTTTTCCAGCTCGTTTTCCCTAGACCCTGAAATCCCACAACCGGAGACAGATCCTGAGCTCCAGGGCTGCGAACCTGTCAGGGAGACGCCCTGGAAGTAGCTCACGGGCAGCTGCTGACAGCTGCAGAAAGGGCGGTGACGCGGGAGAGGGCCCCTGAGGGGGGCCTGAGGGACCCCAGCCCGAGCAAGGGCAGGAGGCAAGAAGAGAGGAACAAGGGACAGGTGTGCCCAGGGCGCTGAGAGGAGGGTGGGCAGGAGAGCGTGCCCAGCGGTGGCTACTGACCCCGGGCTAGTTGTGCCAGGGACGGGGAAGCACAGTCTGTAGTCTCTGCCTAGCGGGCCTCTACCTACCAGTCTCTGCCTAGCGGGCCTCTAATGGAGAGTCTCTAACTAGAGGGTCTTACTCGGTGAAGGGTTGTGCCCTCCACCCCTGCCCACCTGGCTCACAATAGGCTTCTCCCCTGGCCTGGCCGACTCACTCTGGTTTGCCTGGTTGGGGCCCCTTGATAAGGCGTCCTCCCTGTACTGGGCAAACAGGGTGACTATCGTCTTCGATGCCCCCGTCACACAGACGCTTAGGGAGGAGCCCGTCTGTAGCACGCAAGGGCACTACGCTTGCAGGCAGCCGTGAGTCTGGCAGGACTGACTGTAAAACGACGGGAGCCCCAGAGGCCTGGAACTGGTGGGCAGCGGTGCTCTCACTGGTTTGGTCTTCGGGGTGGACGCTGCATTTTCAGCACCTCCTGTGAGCTAAACACAGCGATAGGAAGCCCTTGCAGCTGCATCCATGCTAGTCTGTGCGTGAACCCCTGGAGAGCCCAGGCTGCGGGGAGGGACCATGGCCCTGCAGACCTGGTCTGGTGTCCCTCCTGCACGTCCCACCTTCAGTGGCTGTTTCTTCCCACCCCTGTTTCCTCTATAAATGTGGGGTTTTGTGGGGGATGCCCAGCCACTCCAGTGTGGACAACCCTGTGTGTCCCTTCTAGGGCACCATGGAAAAAGGGCTTCAGGATGGAGAAGATGCCTCCAAACAAGGTAAGGATCTTGGGGGAGCTCTTCATGTACTTGGGGGCCAGGAGCACAGCATTGGGGAGTGAACTCCTCTCCTTGGGGTGACTCAGCTTATCTGCAACGCAGGACATGCACCTCCCCAGGAAATGTAACGTGGTGGGCTATTTGCTGTGATGTTCTTCTTAGTGAGGTTGCATTTTTCCAGCAAAACCCTGTCATTTTGTAAGACAGAGATCAGGCAGGAAGGACAGGAGTGGAAAGTAGGGGCCAATCAACTCCTGGTTGTGGGAGGCCCTGAGCATCACTTTGGGTGGGAACGGAATAGAGAGAAGGTTCTAGAAAGGGCAGCGGCAGTCATGGAGGAAAGAGCCCAGGGGCTCTGCCCAGCTGGGGTGATGTGTCCTCCCAGCCCTGCCTGAGTTCCCTCCTTGTTATGTTGAAGGGAAGTTGGGGTTCTCGGTGAAGCCCCGTGATGGCAGGAGGGCATGAGGCCTCCTTGACGCAGCAGCCTGGGTGGGAAGCAGCAAATCTCTCTCTGGGTCTGGAGGCCGGGAGGTCCAAGGTCAAGGTGCTGGCGGATTTGCGTCTGGGGAGGACCCACTCCTGGGGCTGTGTCCTCACCTGGTGGAGAGAGGCCCCTGGACTCCTCTACTTACAGGGACACTATCCCCTAATCACGGGGGCTCCACCCTCACGACCCCATGGAAACCAAACCTCCTCCCAGAGGCCCTCATGATGGGGACAGGTTTCAGCTGAGGAACCCAGAAGGAGGCAAACCCGCTTTCATGCCCCCACAGGAGGAGGAGAGTGCTCAGGGTCAGACCAGGCCCCGCTGAGGATCGTGCTGGTGGGCAAGACGGGCTGCGGGAAAAGCGCCACCGGGAACAGCATCCTCTGCCGGCAGGAGTTCGAGTCCCGGCTGGGGGCCCAGCCTGTGACCAGCACCTACCAGCAGGGGACATTGACTTGGAATGGGAGGGACTTCCTGGTGGTCGACACGCCCCCCATCTTTGAGGCAAAGGTCTCAAAGGAGATGAAAAAGGAGATAGCCCAGGACATCGAGGACTGCCACAAGCACTTGGACCCTGGGCCCTATGTGCTGCTGCTGGTGACCCAGCTGGGCCGCTTCACGGAGCAGGACACGCAGGCAGTAAAGAAGGTGAAAAAGGTCTTCGGGGCAGAAGCCAAGAGACACATGATCATCCTGTTCACCCACAAGGAGGACCTGGAGGGCGGGTCCCTGCACGATTACGTGGCCCAGACGGACAACCAGAGCCTGCGGAAGCTGGTCCAGAAGTGTGGGAAGCGCTACTGCGGCTTCAACAACCGGGCCACGGGGGAGGAGCAGAGGGCGCAGCTGGAGGAGCTGATGGCCCTGGTGGTGCGGTTGGTGGGGGAGCTGCAGGGCAAACACCTCCACAGGGATTCCAAGCCCTTAAAAAAATTGAAGAATTTAAAAAAAAACGAGGGCAGATAGAAAACCAAAAGAAGAACCTGAGAGAGATGGAGGGCAACATGGGGAGGCAGGAGCCCTTTAGGGCCCCAAATGGGCTCACTCCGCATCGTGAGTTCTGTGTTCGTCTTTGGCTCCGCTGACCTGTTCCTGTTTCTCTCGCCATCTTCCACCCTCTTTCACTCCAGCTGGCATCTGCACATCAGAGCATGTTCTGAACAACACCCCGTGGGTTCATGGTCCTCCGAGTCACCGATTCTGGAATGAATGTCCTGTCCACAGAGAACAGGCTGCTGTCCCTGCAGGTCCCTCCCTTCTGCCTCGGACACTCCTGGGGAGCCTGGACTCTGTCTGGCTGGCACCGAGCCCTGTGCCCCAGCAGGGGACAACAGTCCAGCCCCGGGCAGCCCACGGCCTGCATGCAACCTTGTTCTTATCCTGAGGGGTTCATGGATAGGCTTGATACCCCCTTTTGGGTCAACAAGACCCTCAGAAAGACAGTCTGTCACATATCCATTATTGGATCTGAGGGTGATGTCTGGAGCACCAGCAGCCATCTTGCCACTATCCTGGGGGTGAAGTTCATGTGTCAAAGCAGGGACAGAGATGGAACAGACCTGAGCCCCAAGTCCACTGGCCCCAGGGCCCATCTTCCCTCTGGATTTCCTTATTTCAGAATAAATTCTCTTACAGTTTACGCTATTTGAGTTTTGGTCTTTTTCTTACCTACATTTGAAAGCATTTGACTCCATATTTCTTTTTAAAAAAACCCTTAAGCCTCTCACGCTTCCTCCAAAATTTGAGAACATGCTTCAGAGCCTAGGACATGGCCTCAGGGACAAGTGACCAGATTTCTCTTGTTCTTAGATTTAGGGGGGCCAGGGGACTGGTCAGGGAACTGCTCACTGACACCAAATGAAGTCACAGATGCTTGGAGCAGGATTGTTTGGGAGGATGAGGGGGAGAAGGTGGGGACCAGAGCTGGGACACACAGCTCAGGAGCTCACTTACCAGGAATTTCTTTCATGAACATTTGCATCTGGGTAAAGGGCTGGCCAAGCCCTTCCCTCCACAGCCAGTGCTTATCTCCAGGTCACGCTCCAACCTCACCCTCCTCTGACGTCCACAAAGGTGGGGGCCCTCTGGGTCACAGGCAGCGCTGCTTGTGGGCAACATGTGGGTGCTCTGTTCCCTGTGGGAGCCTGGGAGTGACCATCAGCACCCTGGTGGGAGTCACTCTCCTGTAGTCCTGCCCCTGACGCTTCCTCAGGCCTGGGTCACGCATCAAGGGCCTTTCCTGGAGGAAGGATGGGATCCCCCCGCGATTGTCTCCCAGACTGGACATGCCCCAGAGGCCTTCACGGCCACACTTCCAGATCTGAAGTCTTCACCTTTCTGCTCTCCCTCCGCAGGCCCTGGCACAATCACCAGGAGCTCACGACCACACCTGGCTGCCCCTCTCCCTGCCATGTGCTATCGCTCCACCTACTCTGTGTCTCTGACCCATCTTCCCCCCCCACCCCCATCCCCACCTGCACAGCCCAGGCTCTGACAGCCCAGATGGAATTCTTTCTCCCAAATACTATCCCTGTCCCCAGGCTTGCCTTGTATTTCCAACCACCACATGTAATACACAAACCCTTGCCCCATGACATAGTCCTTGGCCCTGGTAGCACAGGCCCTGCCAGTGCCATCTCTCCCTGCACCCTCTCTCCATGGGCTGATCCCACTCCCTTCCCGGGCTGTGGGCTGCCTCCGCCTGAAATGACTCCCGGGAGAGGCCAGCACCACCCTGTCCGGGGAGCCTCTGAAGAGCCTGGAGTATACTCTGCAGTGCCCTCCTGTTGGCTGACACCCACTTCCAAGAAAATTTCCCTCTACCCCATTTTAAATGCCGTCATCCCTAACCATGCAGTCACTTCTGCCAAGCAGGAACCTTGTGCTATTTATCTTATGTTCCTGGTGCCCAGCAGAGAGCTGGACACTCATGGTCATGTCTGGTGTCTGTGGAGCTGGAACAGGTGGAGCCAGGAAGGGATGGACAAATTAGGTTGGGCAGTCTGGGAAGGCTGCATGGAGGAGGTGGTCCTCTGCCTGAGAACTCTTCAAGGGTTTGAGGAGGTTACACCTGAGCCTCTTGAGCAGGCTGGGAATCAGTTACTTGCAGCTCTGGAGAGTAACACAGCAGCTTTACTGCCCACGGAGGGCGATGGACAGGGGTCACAGAACCAGCCCTGCGCCCACCCCGCCCCACCCTCACAGGCTGTCTGGGGTGTCTGCAGGCCTCCCTCACAGGGGGCAGGGGGCAGAGAGGGTGGGGGAGGGGCGGGTACCCCCAGGAAAGGGTGGTGGCCTCCTCTGATTCCCTGTCTCCACTGGGTGCCTGACTGAGGCCTGGATCTCAGCTCTGAAATGGGGCGCCCCACCATTGCACAGGGGCCCTCACATGACACATGGCTGGGCCAAGACGGGATAAACAGTGTCGCCTACAATGAAGCTCAATCAGGGCCATTTACTACAAGAAGGTGGGAGCCTCCCCGCCCTCACTTGTGGGCTGGGTAAGTGACCTCAGAAGGTCCTCAGGCATTGAATGGCTGATGTCATCCAAGAACCAGGATTCATGGCCTTGGGGAGTTCCATGAGCTCCTCGCACTTCCTCATCCCGGCAGCAAGGGAACGGGGAGTCTTCCTTTACCACTAGCCTGGGCAACCAACATGTTTCCGATAAACAAGGGGCCCGGTGCCGCCCCGCACTCCGCAGCAGGACAGAGAGTGGGGCTTCGGGGCGTGGGGGAGCGGGGACAGCTGCACACAGCATCTCAGGCCCGCGCCCTCCTGCAGCCCCGCCCCAAGGCTGTGGCCAGGTCACTGGGGTTCACCCTCAGAATTTTTAACAACAAAAACCAGAGATACCAGCTTTTCCTCTAGGTTTTATTTACCTAAAATTGCTGAGCAGAAAAGGGCTGCCATCCTGCCGGGGGAGGGGCTGAAAGTGCCCTCATGAAGGGAAGGGAAGCCCCAACGGGCAGCAGGCAGCTCTGAAGGGAAGGCGCCTGCAGAGCGTGTCCCCTGTGCTCAGTGGCCGCCAGCCCCAAAGTGAATTAAAAGGGCAACAGAAACCAACAAGCACATGCCAAGGAAGGCCGAAGTTCTGGGGCGAGACAGCACCCAGCTCCGGACTCTGAGGAACCTCCTCACTAACCCCGAGCTCTCGAGCTCATTCAGCTCTTGCTTCTGCCTTTCCACCTGTGCCTGCACCCTGGCCAGGAAGGCCGTGGGCAACTGCCCGCAGGCCTGGTCCCTGCCCCGCAGCAGCAGCAGCTCAGCCTCCGAGAAGAGGGCGTTTCTGAGGTAGGCGCCCTGCAGCTCCCTCTCCAGATGTGCCACCAGAGTCATCAGCTCCCCCAGCTGCGCCCTCTGCTCCTCCCCGTGGCCCGGTTGTTGAAGCCACAGTAGCGCCTCCCGCACTCCCGGACCAGCGCCCGCAGGCTCTGGTTGTCTGTATCGGCCACGTAATCGTGCAGGGACCCGTCGCCCAGGTCCTCCTTGTGGGTGAACAGGATGATCACGTGTCTCATGGCTTCTGCCCCGAAGACCTCCTGCACCTTCCTCGTGGCCTGCGTGTCCTGCTCCGTGAAGCGGCCCAGCTGGGTCACCAGCAGCAGCACGTGGGGCCCGGGGGCGGACAGCAGGTAGCAGTCCCCGACGTCCTGGGCTATCTCCCTTGTCCCAGCCTCTGCTTCAAAGATGGGGGGGGTGTCGACCACCAGAGGCTCCTCCCGCTCCAGGTGCCCGCCTCCCTCTGGCACCTCCTGGTCACGGCCTGGGCCCCCAGCCGGGACTCGAACACCTGCCGGTGGAGGATGCTGTTCCCGGTGGCGCTTTTCCCGCAGCCCGTCCTGCCCACCAGCACGAGCCTCAGTGACGAAGAGGACGAAGCTGTGATCCTGTCATATCCTGCACAGCCTGTGTGTGAAAGAAAGAGGGAGTTTTCTGTGCCCTACTGAGTAATTCTGAGGATTCTGGTCACAGTTCGTCATGGACGCCCTGGGCCTCTTTCCCAGATGGACAGTCCTATTGGAACACGTGTCAAGGTTTGTAGGCAACGTAGGAGGCTCTTGGGCAGAAGGGGACCCCCAGGGCAAGCCCTGGCTATATCCACAGCCCAGAGTAAATCCTGCTACTCCAAGGAGGGGACCCAATGCCCATCCTCCAGAGCAGCCCCCAGGCCTGCAGGAAAAGAGCTTCCTGTGCTTCCATGGATGGTTCTTACCAGCTTCAGGCTAAATAATGTGGATTAGAAGTCGTGAGTGAGGAAACCCCCAGGTGTGCTCTGGTGGAAGCACCCACATCTCAGCCTGGGGAGAAAGGAAGTCTCCGAGGTCGCCGCCTCATGACCTCCAGTTGGGGGGATGTGCCCGTTGGGTGGGGAGTTGGGTGTTTGAAATGGAGAAGCTTGAAGGGTCTGAGTTGATGTCAGGGAGAGCCTGGCAGTGGCCTCGGGTGGGTGGAGGAGACGGTTGCAGGACACGTGCTGGGAGGATCATCTACTGGGCTGACGGGAATCGGGAAATTATAAGAAAAGTGGAGCTGGACAGGGTGCCATGGAACCAAGAACTAGCATGTTGAAGGGCTGAAGAGGGTGAGAACCCAAGGATTCCCGCGTTTGGGGAACCCAGATGAATTTAGTTCATCGGCCTCCTCAGGTCCGTGGTTTATTCCTCCTGCTGCAGTGGTTTTTCTTTTCCTTCAGGAGCCCGATGCGCTGTAGCAAAAATGATAATTAAACCTCCACGGGGGAGGTTTCCTCTCTTCAGCTGAGAGCAGAAGACGCAGCAGAAATAATTGTCACACAATTCAGTTCCAAACCCTCCTTGCCCTGAAGTTTCATCTCAACGTTTCCCACAGACAGCGCAGGGCGCCACCCCCCCCAGGGCATGTGATGGTGGAGGGCAGGCTGGGGACAAAGGGCAGCTGCCTCTCTCGCCTTCAGGTTAAAACCACTGGCTTCTGCTGCCTAAGGGAGGGGCAGGGGCATGTGGGGGAAATAGTGAGCCCCCCACGCCCCCAGGGCCGGAGGTCTCCAGTGCTTTGGGGCTTTCTCACCTTCAGCCATAGTCCCGTAGCTGCTCTTCTGAGGCCTTCCATTCCCTTCTGGAATAAAAACAGAAATGAAAAGTTGAGAAGGTCTGAGAACACCTCACATTCAGACACCTGAGCATAGTCATCCTCAGGGAACTATCTCCTTGGGCCATTTTCTGATCCTAATTTATTTTCAAGCATCTGTAAATTACTCAGCAGCTGGGGGAGGCTGTGTAACACCCTGGACTGGAGCGTCTCTCTCCCCTCTTCTCACTCCTTACGAGAAAGCAGAAACTGTTTTTAAACAAATCCATGGAGGGTCTCCTCTCCCCTTGAAAGGGCATGAAATAAAGAAGGCATTCCCCTGGGGGACAGGGGCCAAGCGCCCTAAGAGTCTCCTCCACTCCTCTGGCCCATCCCTGTGTTTTCCGGGATCCAGGTCACGGCTCTAGTTCCGTGAGTGTGAGTCTGTGACACTTTCCCCCACAGGCTCGGCCAAGAAAGGGATGGATTTCTTCCATCCACTCCCCTGAACTCGGGTGGGCCTCAGGCTGAGTCCCTCATCTTGTCACCATGAGTGTGTATTTGGGGAGAAGAGGGTAGAGGGGACGAGGGAA